TCCTGTATAATTAGATCATCCACAGGCCCCTGGCTTAATTAATTATGTTAATAGGGCCTGGGGAGACAGGCAGGGATGCGCACAGCGGGTGCTGGATGGGATTGAGAGCAGAGGGAATTGGGGATGTGTGGCTGAACTCTGGTCCCCACAGCAGGGATGTCACCACTGTCCCTGCAGTGGGGACCTGCAGCCTTTTCCCACTCACGGAATGAGGCTCATGATCGCATGGGGATTCAGCTAAAACTCATGGAGGGGTTTTTAGCTCTTCTCTCGTGGTCCCCCCTGGCTGTGGTCCCTGTGCCCCACTCCAGTTCTGCCTCTCCTGGGACCGGGAGACTCCCAGGACATTCACCCCTCCTGCCCCTCTGCGTGGGAGAGCATCCCCTGCTGGGCTGGGAAATACTGGGGAGCATCCTTGTCCTGGATCCCAGAGCATCCTGACTGCATCCCACAGCATCCTGACCCTGGGATCCAGAGCATCCTGACCCTGCATCCCACAGCATCCTTGTCCTGGGATCCAGAGCATCCTGACCCTGGATCCCACAGCATCCTTGTCCTGGGATCCAGAGCATCATTGTCCTGGGATCCACAGCATCCTGAAGTGCAGGGCATCCCTGTCCTGGGGTCAAGAACATCTTTGTCCTGATGTCCAGAACATCCTTGTCCATGGAGTCCAGAGCATCCTTGTTCTGGGAACCAGAGCATCCTGGCCCTGAATTCTAGAGCATCTTTTTCCTGGGATCTGGAGCATCCTGGACCCTGGACTGCAAGGTATATCCCTGTTCAGAGCATCCCTGACCCTGGATCCCACAGCATCCTTGTCCCGGCATCCAGAGCATCTTTCCCTGCGGTGCAGAGCCCTCCCAGCGTTCCCACAGCAGCCAGGCCCGCCTGCCCTGAGCAGCTCCGTCCCGGCAGGAGCCTTTCCCATGGGAGCGGCTTTCCTGGGAGCGGAATTCCCTGGCAGCAGCTTCCCCGCGGCAGAGGGCAGCAGCAGGCTTGGCACGGCGGCACCCGCGGCGCGGCCGGAGCCTGCCCGGGCAGCCGGGGCTGTGGGGGGCTCTGGGACACGGGATGAGCACCCCCGAATGGGGATTTGGATTCCCAAAGCGCTTCCCGGGGGATTTGTGGCAAGGGGATAATTCCGCGCCTGCGGTAGAACAGGAGCTGAGCTTCCCTCTGCTCCCCCTTGGGCCCGATCCATCCCTTCCTGCCCGAGGAGAGGCGTGGGCACAGCGGGATGTGATTCCATTCCATTCCATTCCATTCCATTCCATTCCATTCCATTCCATTCCATTCCATTCCATTCCATTCCATTCCTTTCCTCTTCCCTCTTCCCTCTTCCCTCTTCCCCCTTCCCTCTTCCCCTTCCCCCACAATTCCAGGTTTTATCTGTGGATTTTAAAATGGGATGATTGTCCTATGTAATTAAATATTTTCCTTTATTTATTTCTTTTTCATATATATATTATTTAATCTTCATGGATCTGGGCTGCTCTGGAAGCCTCCCTGGGATGGGAGAAGGGATTGGGAGAAGGATTTTGGGGGGAATTCGGGGCTGTGATGAGAAGCTGGAGACCCTTCCCAACTTGCCAGGAGAAAAGGGATTGGGAGAAGGATTTTGGAGGAATTTGGGGCTGTGATGAGGAGCTGGAGACTTTTCCCAGCTTTCTTCATCTCAACAGGAGAAAAGGAGATGGGGAGAAGGATTTTGAGGCTGTGATGAGGAGCTGGAGACCCTTCCCAGCTTTCCTCTCCAGAAAAGGGATGGGATAAAGTTTTAGGAATGGGAAGGGCCGTGGCACGGCCACATCCCCCTCCCGGTGCCCTGGCACGGCTCTAATCCCAGGTAATTGGATTTACAGGGAGCGCTGTATCCAATTACAGGGCCCTAATTAACAGCCCGCGGTTACAAGCCCGCCGTGCCTCGCTCGCAGCAATTGGGATTAATTTTTCCAGGATCCACAGGCGGCCGCTGATTGCGGGATCCGCGGGCAGCTCCAGCAGAACGCGGATAATTGAGCTGGCACGAGCAGCTTCCAGGGGTGATGGGCACAGCCCCGCAATCTGAGGGTCCTGCTGGCTCCTCACTGGAAAATGCAGGATGTGGAATTGCTGAAACAAATCCAGAGGAGGCCATGGAGATGCTCTTGGAGCTGGGAATGTTCCCCTGGAGAGGAGAAGGATCCGGGGAAAGCTGGGAATGTTCTCCTGGAGAAGGGGAGGATCCAGGGAGAGCTGGGAATGTTCCCCTGGAGAAGGGAAGGATCCAGGGAGAGCTGGGAATGTTCTCCTGGAGAAGGGAAGGATCCAGGGAGAGCTGGGAATGTTCCCCTGGAGAAGGGAAGGATCCAGGGAGAGCTCAGAGCCCCTTGCAGAGCCTGAAGGGGCTCCAGGAGAGCTGGAGAGGAACTTGGAACAAGGGATGGAGTCACAGGGAATGGCTTTGAACTGGAAAAAGGGAGATTTGGGGATATTGGAAAGGAATTTCTGGCTGTGAGGGTGGGGATGGGCTGAGATGGAATTCCTGGAGAAGCTGTGGCTGCCCCTGGGTCCCTGGAAGTGCCCCAGACCCGCTTGGAGCACCCTGGAATAATGAAAAGTGTCCCTGCCCATGGAATGAGATGGATTTGAAGTTTCTTTCCAACCCAAACCACTCCATGGTTCTATGATGAAGTCCTGGAATTCCCAGAGATTCCCTGAGATATTCCCATGGCTGGACACACCAGATTTAGGGACTGGGAGCAGCATCCCTGTGGGGCATCCCCTTTTCAGCCCTTCCCACCTTTCCCTGGGGGTGTTTGTTCCTTATCCCTTCCTGCTGGACTGAGCTGCTGCTGAGCCATTACCAGGAAAAGGTTTGAGGGATCAGCAGCTGGGAATTGCTTTATTCCATGAAAATCCATGGAAGCTCCAGGTGTCTGCCCTGCAGCAGTGCTGGGATTCATCCCGTTTTCCCTCCTCTGGAAAAAAATAAAGTCTCAAAGTTACAAGAGCCCGAGGAATCTTCATCACTCCAGCAGTGCCTGGGATTTTCCTGCATCCCAAGGGCTCCAGGATTCCCTGAGGAGCATCACTCTGGAATTTCTGACCCTGGAAAAGCAGTGCTGGGATCACTTCTCATTGCTCTGTTTGCCTTTCCTCATTATGATGTTCCCAAGCATCCACCAGTTCCCAGCTTGGGACATTAATCCGGTGCAAGCCAGAGGCTTATCCAAACAGGGAATCTTCCTCGGTGATTTCAAACTAAACTTGATAAATCCTTCATAAAAGAAAAAGGGATTTCATCTCCGAAGGGTCCGCGGAGGAGCCGGGGAGGGATCGCGGCTCCGGAGCCGCACGTCTTCATTTGCTCCCGGTTCTCCCCGGGAGCTGCACATTTGCTCCTGTTCCCGCTGGAATTTTTCCTGCTGGTGGAGAATTCCCAGCCTGGGGACCATTCCCAAAGCCGTGCTCCCGGCTTTGGTGTCCCACAGGAGCTGGGATTTGGTGCTGGATCTTGGGGATTTGTGGGATGTGCCAAGAGGGAAGGGATGGGGAACTCCTGGTTGTCCCTTCCTGGGATCATCCCGGTGCCGACATCTGCCTGTGTCCGTGTCCATCCCGAGCCCTCTCTTCCCGGATTTGGGAGTGGCGGGATGGGAAAGGGACCGAATTTGGCGACAGGGACAATATTTGGCTGCTCTGGTGGCTCTGCCCGCCCTTGGCCGCCTCCCCACGATGCTCGGCTCCTTCCCAGGCATCGGGAATCTTGAAACGGATCCCTCAGATCCGCATCTCCGGCCTCTCCATCTTTTTATTCCCAGCCCTCGTTCCCCTCCTTCCGAGCCCCCTCCGCTCCCGACGCAGGGCTTTGATCTCCGAAAAGCCCCTTCCTCTCTCCAAAGCCTCTGGAATGCTCGGAGGAGCCTCATTAAAATAGATGAGGCTCCCTTTGATCGCGGCGCTCGCAGGACCTTTCCCAGCGCCGGGCTTCCCTTTCATCCCTGCTCCCAGCTGGAAAAGCCGGAGCTGCTCCTCACATTCCCGGGAAAAGCTGGGGGATCCTGGCCCTCGGGGAGCCCGAGTGGATGAATCCCCACAGGTGAATCCCTGGAAGCTCGGTAGCCACCAGGGAGGTGGGAAAGCCGGAGGGATTTTGGGGAGGTTGGCAAGGACACGCAGAGGCGGTGCCGGAACTCTGGGGAAAAACGGGAAAGGGAAAGGTGAAGATAAAAACGATTCTGGGGAGAAAAAAGGGAAAGATCGGGAAGCAAAGGAGGAGAAAGCCAAGGGCGGCTGCCCCGCTGGGCAGAGCTCGTCAGGCCTTTGGAGCGATGTGGCTGGGTTGGATAATCCAGGAATAATTAATGAATCCTGTCCCCATTCCCATCCCCGGACTGGGATCTGGGTGTTCCCTGCTCCGAGCTGCTGGAGCTGGGCTGGGAATGGGGATGGGAACGGGGGAAATGGCGTGCAGGGATACAGGACACAAGGATTTGGGGATTCAGGGAATGGGAATGTGGGATGCAGGATACAGGGATATGGGGTTACAGGGATTCAGGGAATGGGAATGTGGGATGCAGGGATAGGGGGATTCAGGATTCCAGGACAGGGGTACAGACTGTGAGGATATGGGGACACCGGGATTCAGGACACAGGGATTTGGGGATGCAGGAATGCAGGAAATGAGGATATGGGAGGCAGGATACAGGGATGCAGGCTGCCAGGATTTGGAGACGCAGGGATGCAGAGAACAGGGCTGTGGGATGAAGGGATGGAGGGATAAAGGGATGAGGGATGAAGGGATGCAGGGCATGGAGGTGCTTCAGGAGGGTTCCCCAAGGGAAATTTCTCCACTTAGGACCAATCCCTGCCCCCACTGAGAGGGGACATGGGGGTGGCACCCAGGACAGCCAGTAGGGCCACAGGGGACACTGAGGGCCACACGTGACTCCTGCCCCTTCCCACTCAGGCTCCTCCAGCTCCATCCCCACAGGAGCCAACTCAGCCCACGGGCGTGGAGGTGGCAAATATTGGCCCAGGCGGTTCCAATGAGGTGAATCCTGCTAATTAGGGCTAATTAATGGCCCCACGTGCGGCGTGCTCAGAGCTGGCTGCTGCCAGCCCCGTGGGCTGTCCCCAAACCCCGGTGGCATCTGTCCCCTGGGGTGAGCAGCGGTGCCACCGAGGATCGCAGGGTGTCACCGAGGATAGCACAGTGGCACCAAGGATGTCACACAGCCTCTCTGTCCCATCGTGGTCCTCTTGTCCCACCAGAGTCCTCTTGTTCCACCATGGTCCCTTGTCCCACTGCAGTCCCCTGTCCCATCATTGTCCCATCATCCCATTACTGTCCCTCTATCCCATCATGGTCTCCTTGTCCCACCATTGTCCCTCTGTCCCACCAGAGCCCCCTGTCCCATCATTCTCCCTCCATCCCACCACATTCCCTTGTCCTACCAGGTCCCTCCATCCCACTGTGGTCCCCTTGTCCCACCACAGTCCCCTTGTCCCATCATTGTCCCATCCTTGTCCCTTGTCCTGTTGTGGTCCCATTATTGCCCCATCATCATCCCTTGTCCCATCACGGTCCCATCATCATCATCATCCCTTGTCCCATCCTTGTCCCTTGTCCTGTCGTGGTCCCATAGTTGTCCCTTGTCCCATCACGGTCCCATCGTTGTCCCTTGTCCCATTGTTGTCTCATCATTGTCCCATCATGGTCCCTTGTCCCGTGGTTGTCCCTTGTCCCATCATGGTCCCATTGTTGTCCCTTGTCCCATCGTGGTCATGTAGTGGTCCCATCACTGTCTCCTGTCCCATCGTGGTCCCATGGTTGTCCCTTGTACCATCATGGTCCCATCATCATCCCTTGTCCCATCATTGTCCCATCGTGGTCCCTTGTCCCGTGGTTGTCCCTTGTCCCATCATGGTCCCATTGTTGTCCCTTGTCCCATCGTGGTCCCGTAGTGGTCCCATCACTGTCCCCTGTCCCATTGTTGTCCCATCATTGTCCCGTCCCATGGTTGTCCCATCCTTGTCCCATCGTGGTCCCATCATTGTCCCATTGTTGTGCCATCCTTGTCCCACGGCTGTCCCTTGTCCCCTGGCGGTCCCGGCTGGCAGAGCCCGCGCTGAGCCCTTAATAAGCCGTGATTCACACCCTGTGCTTAATTAGCAATTCAGTTAACGGTTTGTAATTCAGGCACGACCCTGATTGCATCCGAACGCTGCTTTATTTCTTCTCTGCCGCTCGCATTCTGAGCACTAATTACGCCTCTTTGGATGCTAATTGCTTCCCAGCCCTCTGCCGCTGTCTTTCCTGAGCAACATTTATTTTTCATGCGTCCGTGTGTTTAAACTAAGAAAAGCCGGGAGGGAGGTGGGAGGAGGGAATCGCTTCGGTCCAAGGATTCTCCGGGATCAAACGTGCCAGGAAAGGTGAGCTGGGAAATGCGGGGAGGAGTGAGCGTGGGAAAGAAGCGGGATTCCTCCTCCTCCTCCTCCTCCTCCTCCTCCTCCTCCTCCGCTCCAAACCCCTCCGTGCCCCTCGGGATGGGGCTCCCGGTCTCCTTTGGGATATTCCAGCCTGGAACCACCCGTGTGAAGGGTTCAGGGATGGGGGAATCAGGAGGGGGCCCTGGATTAGGGATGAAGCCCTCGGGGAATGAAATTGTGATGCTGGGATGGGAATGAAGCGTTGGGGAGCTCAGCCTGGGGAGCTGGGCTGGAGATGGAGCCCTGGGGGGATCAGGATGGAGCTGGATTCGGGATGAAGCCTTGGAAAACTCAATCTGGGGAGCTGGATTAGGGACAAAACTCAGGTTGTGGTGTTGGATTAGGAACAAATTCCTGGTGGATTCAATTTTGGGGGCTGGATTTGGAATGAAGCCCGGGAGACTCAGGTTTGTTGTTGGATTAGGAACAAATTCCGGGGGGGATTCAAATTTTGGGGCTGGATTTGGGATGAAGCCCCGGGAGCTCAGGCTGGGGCAGGCAGGAGATGCCCAGGGAGGGGTCAGTGACCCTCGGGTGACCTTCCCGGGGTTCCCATTGGGATCGTCCCTCCCGAGCACCTGGAAAATCCTTTCCTGTTTTTTTCCAGCTGGGAAAATCCCGGCCCTGCAGCCCCGCGGGTGCCCCGGGGCACAGCCAGGCTCGGCTTTGATGGCCCTGGCTAATGATTAAGATCATTAAGAGCGGTTTAATTAGCTCAGTGAGCAGTGTCACCTGCCTGTCCCCTGCTGTCCCACTCCATGCCTCAGTTTCCCCACCCAGAGCAGGGCACGGGGACACGGGGCAGGGCCAGCCGGTGCTCTGGGATATTCCAGGGATATTCCAGGGATATTCCAGGGATATTCCAGGGATATTCCAGGGAATTCCAGGGATATTCCAGGGAGCCCGAGGCTTGTGACATTCAGGATGGTGGCAGTGACTGCCCGAGGTCACACCAGGGGTGTCCCGGTGTCCGTGGCCGCCCCCAGCACGCCGGAAAGGTGGGAAGATGAAGGGAGAATTCCATGTTTTTCCAGCACTTTCTGCACCTGGCACGGCACGGGCGGATCAGGGCAGCCCATGCCAGGCCTGGAGGAGCCCAAACCCGCTGGAATTTGCATTTTTCCTGGTGTTCCATGAATAATTAACGGCGAGAATCCACAGGAGGGTCCCGCAGCACCGGGAAAACATTCCATGAATATTTATCTGCCGGGAAGATGCGGCCAGAGATGGCTTTGAGTGACAGCTGTCAATCACCCAGCCCTGGGCATCCCTGCGGGGAGGACGCGCCGGGCACGGGGGTTTGGGGATGCAGAAGGTGGCACCAACCAAATCCCAGGATTTGGGAGCTCCGGGAGAGGCCGGGCACAGCCCGGAGAGGGTTAAATCCCGGGATGGGGGTGGGAGATGGGAACAGCATCCATTAATTAGCGCCTGCATTGCGGGCCATTAATGCAGAGCGTTATTAAACCGACAAAATCCCCTCATTCCCAGCTTTTCCAGGAGCGAGCCCGGGCTCATCCCGCCGTGTTTGGGCTGTGGAAGAGCCGCGAGCGCACCTGGAGCCTCCCGCTGCTCTCCATTGACGCCATCGAGTTTATTTATTCCGAACATTTGGCATTTTTGGGAGGCGAGGGATGCGAAAATCCCATTTGCATCGGATTCTTGCGGAACGGCCCCGCCACCCCGGCAGGCGCCGGCCAATTAAAAATCCATCAGGAAAACAAATTCCTGGATCTCTCCCGCTCCGTGTTTAAAGTTAATGACGGAGCAGGAGAGGGGAACCGGGAGCGGCGCTCGGAAAGGAGGAGGGAGCGATTCATAAATAGGAAAAGATGAAGGGAAACAATCGGGAGGGGGCTGAGTGTGAGGGAGCTGCTCCAGAACATTCCATCATTTCCACGTTCGGGAGTTATGGAGTGGTTTGGGTGGGAAGGGACATAAAGCTCATCCCTGCTTTATTGGGGGGCACTTCCCACTATCCCAAACTGGCCTCGGATCATTCCAGGGATGGAACCATCCCAAACCGATCATTCCAGCGGTGGAACCATCCCAAACTGATCATTCCAGCGGTGGAATCATCCCAAACTGATCATTCCAGGGATGGAACCATCCCAAACTGATCATTCCAGGGATGGAACCATCCCAAACCGATCATTCCAGGGATGGAACCATCCCAAACTGATCATTCCAGCGATGGAACCATCCCAAACTGATCATTCCAGGGATGGAACCATCCCAAACTGATCATTCCAGGGATGGAACCATCCCAAACTGATCATTCCAGGGATGGAATCATCCCAAACTGATCACTCCAGTGATGGAACCATCCCAAACTGATCATTCCAGGGATGGAGCAGCCACAGCTTCTCTGGGAAATCCATCCCGGCCCCTCCCAGAGAGGGATTCATCCCGATATCCCACCCATCCCTGCCCCAAAAGGCAGTGGGAAGCCATTCCTGGCACTCCAGGTCCTTCTCCAGAGTCCAAATCCATTTCTTGGAGCTCCTTCGGGTCCTGGAAGGTCACAGTGAGGTCGCTCTGAAGCTTCTCCTCTCCAGCCTGGACATTCCCAACTCCCCCAGCCTTTCCCACAGCCCCATCCCTCTGGATCCTCTCCTCACTCCAGCTGGGCCCCACAGCTGGATCCAGCCCTGCAGGTTCCACCTTGCTGGGATTTCCTGGGATGCTTTTCCCACCTTCCTGGGGGTTTCTGGGATGTTTTTCCCACCTTCCTGGGGGTTTCTGGGATGCTTTCCCCACTTTTCTGGGATTTCTGGGATGTTTTCCCACTTTTCTGGGGTCACTGGGATGCTTTCCCCACTTTTCTGGGGTCTCTGGGATGTTTTCCCCACTTTTCTGGGGTCTCTGGGATGCTTTCCCCACCTTTCTGGGATTTCTGGGTTGTTTTTCTGCCTTCCCAACCAAAATCTCGCAGGGTTTAGGGGTCAGTCCTGCTCCTTCCCCTCGGCTCTGGCACATCCAGCCATGCTCTGTTGGAATTCCCGGCTGGAATAACTCCCCCAGCCCCGCTCGGGGATGATTCCAGCAGCTCCAGCTCCTCGGCAGCGTTCCCTCCCCACCTCCACATCCCTCTTATTCAGCTCCTCCATGATTTTCCTGCTTTTCCTCTCTTGATAAACACAAAAACTGCGGCAGGAACGACATTTCCCAGGGAAGAAACCCACCTGGATCACCCTGGAGCTGCTCCTTCTCCTTATTTTGGGATGTTTTCCATGGAAAATCGGCGGCCAGGGCTGGTTTGGCAGCGCCAGGTGGGATCAGGTGGGATCAGGGGATGCTCCCAGCCCTGGGGCAGGAGTGGATTTTTCTGTATTAACCTAAAAACAGGAGAGGGAAGAGGAGGGGGAGCCCTGTGATTGCACAATGCCCCATTCCATGTTCTGGATCCCAATTTCCCAGGATTTTGCCCCATTCCATGTTCTGGATCCCAATTCCCCAGGATTTTTCCCCATTCCATGCTCTGGATCCCAATTCCCCAGGATTTTCCCCCATTCCATGTTCTGGATCCCAATTCTCCAGGATTTTCCCCATTCCAAAGCCTGGCTCCCAATTCCCCGGGATTTTCCCCATTCCATGTTCTGGATCCCAATTCCCCAGGATTTTTCCCCATTGCATGCTCTGGATCCCAATTCCCCAGAATTTTTCCCTTTCCAGAGCCTGGATCCCAATTCCCCAGGATTTTTCCCCATTCCAGAGCCTGGATCCCAATTCCCCAGGATTTTCCCCATTCCATGCTCTGGATCCAAATTTCCCAGGATTTTTCCCCATTCCAGAGCCTGGATCCCAATTCCCCAGGATTTTCCCCATTCCATTGTCTGAATCCCAGTTTCCCAGGATTTTTCCCCATTCCATGTTCTGGATCCCAATTCCCCAGGATTTTTCCCCATTCCATGTTCTGGATCCCAATTCCCCAGGATTTTTCCCCATTCCATGGTCTGAATCCCAATTCCCTGGGATTTTGCCCCATTCCAGAGCCTGGATCCCAATTTCCCAGGATTTTGCCCCATTGCATGGTCTGGATCCCAATTCCCTGGGATTTTGCCCCATTCCTGAGCCGGGATCTCTCCACATCCCATCCCGGCTGCACCAGCAGGGAAACTGAGGCACGGCCCCTGCTGATCCCGGATCTTTACCGAATCCTCTGCAGATTTGGGAAAAGCTCCCAGGAACCCAAACCCCCCCTGGAGCCCACCAAAGTGGAATATTTTGGAATGAGATTTATAAATCCACACTGGGAGAGGAGCAGGGATCGATCCCAGGGGGGTTTGGATTTAATTTTCCAGCATCTCCTTTTCCTGTACCATTCCATTTTTGAAATTTTTCCTTTTTTTTTTTAATTTACAATTATTATTTTTTCCCAATCGCTTCTCCCCATCCCAAAAGGAAGAGCTGATATCTCTGAATACGCAGCAGAAACGTTTCCTTGCGGGATTTTAACGGGAAAAAGAGGGAAAACGTTTGAAGTTTGACAATGGAATATTATTAGAAAGGCACGGCACGGGCAGGATGAGGAATCACTGCTGGCACAGCAATGAAAAGAGAATAAAATCAAACCCAGCCCTGAAAGCTCAAACCGTCTCTTCCCAGCCTTGACCATTTTTTTTTTATTTTTTCCCCTATTAGATATATTTTTAGAAAGCTGAAAAAAATTAAAAATATTCGTTTCCCAGCACTTTTTTATTATTATTAATATTATTTTTTTGATTCCTAAACCCCTCTGATTGGCCTGGAAATTGAATTTCTGGGGGATATTGGCTCCAATCAATCCGGGATGCTCCAGCTCCCCCTGTGCTGTCTAATTATTAATAAATAATTAGATATTAGAAGGGGGCGATCTAATTATTAATAAATAATTAGATATTAGGAGGGGGCGATCTAATTATTAATAAATAATTAGATATTAGGAGGGGGCGATCTAATTATTAATAAATAATTAGATATTAGGAGGGGGACGATCTAATTATTAATAAATAATTAGATATTAGAAGGGGGCGATCTAATTATTAACAAATAATTAGATATTAGGAGGGGGCGATCTAATTATTAACAAATAATTAGATATTAGGAGGAGGCAATATAATTATTAACAAATAATTAGATATTAGGAGGGGCAATCTAATTATTAATAAATAATTAGATATTAGGAGGGAGTTATCTAATTATTAATAAAATTAATCTCCCACATTTCCCAGCTGGGATCAGATTCCCACATCCCACCACCACTTCCAGGCCCTGGAATTAATTTAATTAGCAGAAAATTGATGTTTTTTCCCCAAAATCCTGGTGAGAGAGCGGGGCTGGATCCTCCTTTTGCAGCCCCACAAAGGGACTGAGCACAGAGCTGGGTCCTGTTCCTGCTTTTCCAGCTTTTCCCAGACCTTTCACTGCTTCCCAGACCGGAATATTTTGAATTTTCCTCCTTTTCCAGACCCCTCCCAGCCTCCCAGACTGGAATATTTTGAATTTTCCTCCTTTTCCAGACCCCTCCCTGCCTCCCAGACTGGAATATTTTGAATTTTCCTCCTTTTCCAGACCCTCCCAGCCTCCCAGACCGGAATATTTTGAATTTTCCTCCTTTTCCAGACCCCTCCCTGCCTCCCAGACTGGAATATTTTGAATTTTCCTCCTTTTCCAGCTTTTCCCAGACCCTCCCAGACTGGAATATTTTGAATATTTTCCCTTTTTCCCTTTAAATGTCCCCATTTCCCCTCTGCTGCCTGCAGGGGGATGATCCACCAGGGATGACTTTTGGCCTGGAAAAGGGAATTTAGGGCTTGGCAGGGAAATCCTGGATCTCCAGAGGCCGATCCCAAAATCCTGCCCGGCTCAGGGATGCCCCAACCCCGCGGAGCGGATCCCGGGATTCCCTGGAAAATCCGGGATTCCATGGAAAAACCGGGACACCCTGGAAAATCCGGGACACCCTGGAAAATCCGGGATCCCATGAAAAATCCGGGACTCCCTGGGAAATCCGGGACACCCTGGAAAATCCGGGATTCCCTGGAAAAACTGGGACATCCTGGAAAAACCGGGATTCCATGGAAAATCGGGATACTCTGGAAAATCCGGGATACCCTGGAAAATCTGGGACATCCTGGAAAAACCGTGATTCCCTGGAAAATCCGGGACTCCCTGGAAAATCCGTGATTCCCTGGAAAATCCGGGATTCCATGGAAAATCCGGGATTCCATGGAAAAACCGGGATTCCCTGGAAAATCCGGGATTCCTGCCAGCAAAGCCGGCGGGAGGGGAGAGATAAATTAGAATTAGTTTTAATAAAACTGAGCTCCATTTTTCTCCGGCCGCTCCGCTCGGATTTCTCCATGAAAAATGGGGGAATTTTCATTTCCCGGCGCCTGGAGATGAATTCCCGCCTGCTGGTGTTTAATGGGGATAATATCCATTAGTTCTATCCCAGTTCCATCCTCATTTTTCTCCCTGGATTATCCCAAATCCTTCCCCCCTCCAGGGAAAACCTTGGAAAGGAGGGGTTGGATCCCTGTGGATTCTCCATCCATCCCTTTTTCCATCCCTTTTTCCATCCCTTTTTCCATCCCTTTTTCCATCCCTTTTTCCATCCCTCCATCCCTTTTCCTATCCTGGGGTTGTTCTGGGGGAAATTCGGGATTTGGGGTTGGGAATTGTCACATTCCAGGGAATTTTCCAGAACCGTGGAGAGACAGGGCCCAAATCCTGTGGGAATGAAGGGAATGAGATGGAAATCTGGGATTTGAGGTGGGAATGGGGAGCAGGAATGAAGGGAATGAGATGGAAATCTGGGATTTGAGGTGGGAATGGGGAGCAGGAATGAAGGGAATGGGGATGGAAATCTGGGATTTGAGGTGGGAATGGGGAGCAGGAATGAAGGGAATGAGATGGAAATCTGGGATTTGAGGTGGGAATGGGGAACAGGAATGAAGGGAATGCG